TACTTGTTGACAGTTTTAAATGGTTCCAGGTTCGAATGCGGGATTCCCCCGTACTAGAAATCGAATATATTCTGAAACTAGGGATTTTTATACCAATCTAGGAAATTTTTGGCGCTCGTATGGGGAATTTCAACTACACCGATCTACCAACACTGCAAAATAGTTATTTATGCAACAAGTGTGTAAAGTGAATCTTTTTTCACGAATGTGAAGTGAATTCTGACGCACGAGCCGAAGGCGAGTGCGACAATCACATGAGTGAAAAAAGATGCTTTACGCACGTATTGCATACAAAATTTTTCTTACTACATACCAATCAAATATGTGTAAAACAATAAATTTGGACAAATACTTTACGCACTAGTGCGTGAAGTGAAATTTTACATCTTCTAAATAGTGCGTAAAGTGAGTACTTTACGCACGGTAGTAGAAAAAAGTTTTTTTTGAGCTTTGAAACTCAATGTACCTGTACCACAGCTAGGGATGGCAAAATAAAAAAATATATCGATATATCGAATTACTTTGTGACAGATTTGGGGGTTTTTTGAAATTCTCAAACATTTCTTTGTCACATAAAATTCTAAAAAAAATACACTATGTATATCCGTTCTTCCGCTACAAAATGGCAGTTCTAGAAAATTGAAAAAAATAATAATAATTCAGCTTTTTTTAAATTTGAAAGTGTCACAATTTTACCCCGTGATGCGGGGTAACTTTGTGACAGTGAGTTTTTGCAATGAAAACATAATGTAACCCCGTCATTTTTAGTCTGAAACGATAGAAAATGTCAAGAAATATATGCTTGATAATTTTCTCATATTAAAAACAGCAGTATATACTGATTTAGACATTTTAAACTTTTATTGTATATAATACGATATAGTGTTTATAACCGTCATATTCATCCAGAAATTGGGATGTGAACTCCACCCATAGGAAGTCGTCCACATTAAAAGACATGTCGATCCTTTTAGCATTGTTTTATGTTGAGCATAAGTTTCTCCCATCGTAAGCGTATTCACATAGATATCCTGACAAGTACCCAAGCAATTAGAAATTCTGACGAATTTTTCTGGGGAGTGTTCAAATTCTGATGTACAGTAGAAAGTTTGGGCGTTTTGAAAAAGTTGCAAAAACGAGACGCTCCGTTCGAATCAGGCTGCAAGTTATCAAGAGAGCGTACCAGCTTGCCGAACGGTTTTTGCAGCGACTGAGGTATGTGCTTCCACCAGCCGGTAGAAAAATTTAGCTTCGCGCGCGGAATTTAAAATGTTTGGCTAATTTGAATTGAATTTCACAATGTCACAAAGTTTCTCCCTTGTCACAAAGTATCCCCGTTTTACGGTATCGAAATAACATATCGATATATCGAACGAAAAACATCGATATTTTGAATATATCGATATATATTTTATTTTTTTAGTTTTTTCCATGAGCGTGCGAAAAGTTCTTTTCTTCTGCACGCATTTTAGGTCATGAAAATATCACTTCTCCGCACTTGTGTGGAAAATTAAAATAATTATGCAATGTTAAGTCACACTGATACTTTCATGTCCTAAAATGCGTGCGGAATAGTACTTTTCCGCACGATCGTAGAAAAGTAACTTTCCTTATGACTGCTATTAAAAAACTATTCTGACAGAATAACTAAAAGTTAACTTCTGGAATGACTTTACTTCTCATGTAATTCCAGAAGTTAACTTTTATTTAACTGTCAAAGTATTTTTATAATACCCGCCCTTAATTATGCGGTAAAGTCCCTTTTCCTCATTCAGTTGGTACGTACACGCCCTAACTGACATTTGTTTTATTTTAGCCGCCACTGTCAACTGTCATGCTATTGCTATCAGAGTCAACAAATAAACTATGCACACGAGCGAAGGCATTAGTCCATTTCACGTGGCTCCGTTTAAACTAACCGGGTTACAAAACGGTTAGTAGCGGTATGTCAAGTATGACATACCGTTTTCTAACCCCGTTACAAAGTGACGTGATCGATATCACTCGAATTTGAGCGGTATGTTGCGGTTTGTTAAACCGGAGCCACGTGAAAATGGTTATTGTTTTAAAACTTCCGGTATGTCGAAAAGATTATATCGATATTTTTTCGATATATCGAATGTAAGATATCGATTAAAATATATCGATATATTTGAGTTTTGAGTAATATATCGCTATTTACAAAATATCGATATATTTTTGCCATCCCTAACCACAGCATATACAAAAACAATCAGCAGGCTTAGGGATCGCAAAATAAAAAAATATATCGATATATCGAATCATATGATATATCGAAATTACATATCGATACATTCGATATATCGAACAAAAAACATCGATATTTTGAATATATCGATATATATTTTATTTTTCCATTTTTTTCGATGAGCGTGCGAAAAGTGCTTCTTTTCTGCACGCATTTCAGGCCATGAAAATATCACTTTTCCGCGTTGTGAAAAGGTAAAATAATTATGCAATGTTAGGTTAAGTCTCCTTTCCTCATTCAGTTGGTACGTACAAGCCCTAACTGACACATGTTTTATTTTAGCCGCCACTGTCAACTGTCAGACTGTCACAATCAACAAATTAACTATGCGCACAAGCCAAGAATTATTTTAAAATTTCCGATATATCGAAAAGATTATATCGATATTCTTTCCGATATATTGAATGTAAAATATCGATTTAAATATATCGATATATTTGAGTAATATATCGATATTTACAAAATATCGATATATTTTTGCCATCCCTGAGCAGGCTAACTCTCACCAGGGCCGTAGCCAAGGGGTGGGGGGGGCATTGGGGGGCAATGCCCTATCTTTCAAATGATGATGCCCTACCTTTAAAACACAACATGCGTTAAGGTTTCTCTAGGAAATTTGAAAGAGTAGAAAATGAAATGAATTGAAATGAGAAATCGAGTAATTGCGAGGATAAGTGTTTCCGGAAACGTCTAAAAATGTATGCAACAATGTTTGACGTTTGACATTTGACATTTGCACAGAGGAAGTTTTTTCTTTCGAAAGAGTACCAATGGCCCAAGGCTACGCGAGAATCAGTGCCATTTTGTTCAGTTGCCAAAGATGTTATTCATTGACAAGGTTCCTGAAGTTAATAATAGGTTGCCTGGTATTAGGTAACTTAATGACGCATCTAGGGTACCTTGGAGATTTTCATTATATTGGGGCACCCCAGATGACCTCAAAAAGTTATTAGGCAACCTACCTCTCTCAAACAACATTGATTTATTGAAAAATTTGCCTTCGGGGCCATTCATTACCCCTCTTTTGTTAACCTATAAAAAATTTAAGGGGGGAAGGTGATGTATGCCCTATGTCAAATTTGTTATGCCCTATCACAAATTTGACTCTAGCTTAATGAACTATAAACTACACGTACCTGGAATGGCCCGCCGATCTATAAATTTGCGGCAGATTGACATGGAGAATGTGGGGGATACCTATCTCTATTTATCTTATTGGCGAATTATGGAAATCTTTCCTTGTCTAAAAAATATTATATTTCAGGTTAGGAATATACCAATCCTAACAGCAATGAACTGGAGAGAGAAGGGGATACCCCACTATGTAGCTTTTTTGGACGCACTAAGCGAGATGACAAATGCCATACAAATGCCATATCCGACGACAGTCGGTGCCATTCCAGATACGTGTAGTTTATAGTTCATTGCTCTAGCTACGGCCCTGACTCTCACGCGCATCTTTTCGGCGGCATGCCGCCATTAGGGGATACCATCCTGTCATTAAACGGCAGGGGCGTCGGAATTTTATTTTATTTCTTTATTTCTGACGGAGGTCATAGGCGTGCGGTGTAAAGCGGAATTTTAGTTATGATTTTCGAAGTGATTTTAGTATATTCGTGTTGTCATTTATAGTGTTATCTGTTATCATTGTTGTATATTTAATAATAATAATAATAATAAATTAGTGATTATAAATTTAACTATGTAAGTAATAATAAATTAGTTTATTCAAAGCCAATACGACTCTGTGACAGGAACGAAAAAACCTAAATTATCGTTAATCAGGCCCTGTTTCGTATCCCAAAATGGCCGCTAGTAGTGATGACATTTCGACGATGATTTCCTTTATTACACGGGTTGTCACTCAACACTTTCACGACCAGGCGTCACACATATGTGACAAGCAGTTTTTGCCAGGAACTGATGTCACATAAGAGTGATAATGACCCTACAATGATTCAATGCAAATAACTCCCGGGCGGTTCAACGGCGAAAGATGTGTTTTGGCATCAGTTTCTAGGACTGTTTGGCACACATTTGTGTCGCATGGTTTCAGGATTGGATATCTGTTTCAATCATAAGCTTGTGGCTGTGCTTGTGGCAGCTGTGCTTTATATCTCGATTCATATCGTCTCCCAACTAATGCGGATTTTTGTTGTTCCTAGGCTCTCCTATTGGAGTTTGACGTTACAAGGTATCTTTCACTGGATATTGAACAATAATTATCGCCTATACAGCGTAGCCGAGAGTCTGAGACAGCTAACAGTTTATGTCACACATGTGTGTCGCACGGTTTGCCATCATGACAGTTGGTAAATTTTAATGAGAAACTTATCAGAAACCGATGTCACATATATGTGACATTGAATGTTATTACAAAACATATATAACAAAACACATATAACCTGTAAAAAATATATAATTTCTGTCAAAAGTTATGCTACCCAAAAAAACGCGGTTGGTTTCGAGCATCGTCAAATTTCATAAAAGCGGTCGTGAAAGTGTTAAGTTAGCCTGCTCTTTGTTTTTGTATATGCTGTGCCTGTACCATAGCACAGCCTCCTACCGAACAAAAATAAACAATCTAAAAAAAAAAACAAAGCAGAAGTACCTATTTATTCAGAAAATATACAAAAATTTGCCATCCAATGAGGGATGTATAAAGAGTTAAAAAAAATTCGTGAAAAGTTTTACTTGAATCTTGAATGACAGAACTATAGGATTTGGCCGCCCGCGTGCAGGGCACATGCTGCACACCTGCTAAGATCGGCCCTGCTCTACTCTGATATATTTCAAATAATATATAAATACACCATATTAAAGAGAATATGTTTGTCTAGAATCTAGAGAAAAAATCATTTCATTACCTCAATCGGTTTAGAAGTTATACGAGGTTAAGGTTGGAAACTTTAGTTTACTTATACCTAGGTATTTTTAGTTTTTTGCTCCTAACTCATCATCTGTCAACCAATGAAAAAAGTCGTCCATTTCGCTTTTCCATCAAAAAAATTATGCTGAATCATGTGGTAATAGTCTTGATAAATTATACCTCAATACCGGGCTTTTGAATGCAAACGCTTCCCCGCCCACGGCCTACAGGGTAGTCTTGAGTTGGCTGTCCCATAAAAAGGTAGTGTGCTACCCTAGCGAAAAATTGCTATTGCACAAATATAAAAAATAGATAAAAAAATATAACTTGTTGCCGATTGCCATCGTTTAAAATGTTTTGAAAGTTAATACAGTCCACTTTCATTTAGAATAACCCCGTGTTCAAGTAATTCTCCCCTATTACCTAACCTCTCGGGTAAAATGAGCTATTTGAAGCTTTTATGTGTTAACAGTAGGGAATATTTGAAAATTGAAACATTTTTCTGTATAAACTGAACTTTTTATTAAATGTTATGATTATTGTTAAAAAAAAATATGTTTCACCTACATACATACACTTAAAAAATACACAATGATATCATCATAAAATCACATAGAGATATACAAAATATAAAAGCCTAGCAACTTAAGATTTACTAAAATAATAATAAGATAGATCACATTTACAAAAAAAAAAAACATTCAACAGTTTTTTTTTTCAAGTCGTTTAGTATACAATTTATAGGTAGTATATACCAACCCTATATACAAAAATAATTTGAATTAATTGAAATTCTTCTTTTTATGTCCTTTTTGTTCTACAAATAGTTAAAATAAATAAGTATAAAAAGAGAATAAATAAATGCCAAAACATACACTAAAAACTAAAAAAAAAATAAGTAAACAAAAAACACAGACTTTGCACAGCAGCACCTTTTTAATGATGTCATTAAGTCATTTCATTTATAACAACAAAAAAAGTACGCGACAGTCAATTTTGAAAATAAATTGCCAATTAATCCAAAGAATCCTTAGCGCTGAGATCTTTACTTTACCAGCCCTAAGGATTTCTTAAATTTAATGATCCAATAATAATTAATACTCATAGGTTTTCATTTACACAACTACCAAACTATCAAAACTCCTTTCCGACGTCAATCTTGGCCTGCTATGGCTAGTCATCTCAATATTTGCACCATTACTATTACCAGATCCCCTCTTTGCTGGAAGCTCCTTACACAAAGCCAACCAAAACTTGGCATCGTTGCAACGTTCCCATTGGATCACATTCATTGACTTGGCTACCGAAGCTAAAGTTTCGCCAATGGAATTTTTCGCTTCGTTTTGAGTTGAAGGAAGCTCTTTGAGGGTGACTGTAATCATTTTTGAAGCATTTATGGTTTGAATGTGTTTCAAGGCTTGGTAGAGGTTGGAAGACGCCCAAGTATCATTTAGAGCTGCAGGGGAAAGTAGAATAACTACTCGACGTGAAGTTTGGGCGTGGCGACTCAATTCTTGGGACCCTGAAAAATAATAATTTATAGTTGATGAATGATAACAGACAATAATTTTTGGTATCTATATGCATGTAGTTTATTATATAACACAGGATTGGTCTACGAAAGTCGGATATTTGTTATTTTTGGGGAAAAGTTTTTCACATTACAGCCACATTGATTATGTTAATGGAGATACACCCTAGTCAACGTTGAAAATATGCGCTGTTTCAAGAAATGCATCTGAGGATATCATTGATACATTGTTAGAACTTCAGAAAAATAGGTATGTCATCATAATGTTGATCAATATCTGATCAATCTGTCCGCCATGCTCCATGAGGAAGGATTTCATTTTTCACATAGCATTGGTTGAAGCCTTACAAATTATCATATTGCTTCTCGAGTTGCTTCTAAACATTGCCGCCCGTCTGGCTCTGGAGGCACTGTCGTTTTGATGGACAGGCCTTTCTCGGAAAAGAATTATTACTCTGAGATTATGAACAAGTACAATCATCTCGAAAGAGAATTCGAGTTTTGTGAAACTTCCAAATTGCGGCAGATGATGAACCGATAACTGCTTTCCAACATATTTTTGGTTTGTTCAATAAGCACTTTCCAATCTTAACTATGAAACAAAATACTCCAGTTATGTTAGGCCGGAAAAAGCAGCATCTGCTGAAAAAATCCGAGTGAGCCTAAATTTTGTCTACACCTTTATTTTACTTCAAGAAATAATGTCTTCAAAGTCCCCATCAATATCGCGCTTGCGTTTTCAGATATTCAAGGTCAAAAGTCATGAACGTCATTTAATAACGATTGGTTGCCAAATGACATTTCTTCATTGGTTATCTGTCAACTATGATCGACCGGTTAATCGCATTCAATGGATGTGAGTCAGTTCAAATCTAGTTGGCAAGAAGTCTAGACGTTTCGTTTTGTGATTTAATTACCCATCGCAGTCAATTGCTCTCGAAAGGTGTTAGAGTGACTAAAACACGGTATAGATGCTTTGAAAGACGCAAGTGCGGAAAGAGAAGATGAACATGCAGAACATTTAAGGGATACAGATTCCGTAACAGTACATAAAAACTGTCGCGAGGAGTAAACATGGTAGCATCTCAAAGTCCCCTCATTTTTCTCGACAGAAGTGTGGCGACTTGCTTACCCTGCACTTGGATCGCGTATTAGGCTGACAATACTTTGCATGGGTCCCCTTACCATCAGGATCGCTTTAGGCCGCCAGTGGACGAGCCCCCCTAGCAGTGGCGATGCCAGGGTTTTACGTTAGGTGGGGCCAGGCTGGGCCAGAAAAAATTAGGGGGGGCACTTGTACTTACTTTATTGCTTTTCTTCTTTGAAATAAAAAATGGGAATTGCAAAGTTTATCCGTATATTTTTGCACTCCACCTGAACAGCTTAATTGAATGTATCCAAAAGGTTTTTATTTGGATTTTGTATACAGGGTGTCCGTTTTTCGAGGACAACCATTGGAATATAGGAAACGGTAAGAGATACAAAATCGAAATCAATGGCCAAATGTGTTACTGCTTTTGGGAGATCAAGAAACTCCGAATACAATTCATAAAAATGCAAACCTCTATTTAAAAAAATAAAGTTGATGATGATCGGCAAAAGACGAAACGTCGGATTTCAAATTTGGTTACACCATTATGTAGAGGGGAGAAAGTTGCCCCAATAAAGTGAAATTTATTTGAAATACCTTTACAAATGAGTCCAGGAAAATATAGAAATGGATTTTACAAAATTTTGATTCCCATGTATCTCCGGAAGTATTCGGAATTTTCCAAATTTCGAAGTAGCGTTTTGTTATGCAAAAAATTGCGCAACTTTGTCCCAATATCACCGAACCTGTATCTCTTACCGTTTCCTATATTCCAATGATTGCTCTCGAAAAACAGACACCCTGTATAGATAAATCTTCTTGATACCTATTCAATTAACCGTTCAGGGCCGGTTTCTCGATAGCTAGTCCAGGGTAAACGTGTCCAATTGCAATGTTTACCCTGAAGTTATGGTTAACTGCTCTGACCTGGGGGTGACTTGCTTGCTATTGAGAAACCGGCCTTCAGGTGAGGTGCCAAAAATACACAGGAAAACCCTGTACCTGCCGACACAAATATGTTTGGGGGAATCCCAGAAAAGCGAAAGCATAGTTGTGGTTGCCTGGCGCCCACCAAATATCAAATTAACCAGACAGCAGAGGCTACGCATGTTGCATTGCATTGTTGTCGACATGAGGGCAAGTTTACAGGGGGGGGGGGGGGTTTCCTTTCATTTTCAATTTCCACGCTTTTCGCTTGTTGTAACCGACAAAACTTCATTCCTTTTCGACCATGATTTGTTTCCGCGATACTCAAAGTGATATTTTAAGTGAAGCTTGGTATGAAAATAAAAAATCTCAACCGGCAAAAGAACGCCTTCGAATTGTACAAACTGTGAAGAAAATTATTTATTAGAGAAGACATTCGTTTCATGACTGTTGATTGTCAATCTTATCCTTCTCCCAGTAGAATGTTTCATAATCTTAACTTCAACCCTTAACGAAAACATCCCACAGAGCCTCTCATACTTTATTGAAGAATTAATTCTGAAAAACAGAAAAGGCAAAACTGACCATCTCCAGTGTAAGTGTACCGCTATTTGTCATGCTATTATGGCTACGATACGTGCACGATCCTTCACATCTAATCTTTTCGTCGTATAGAGAAATATTAATGTATGAAGTTGCTGCTGTCTACCATCCACAACCAGATACTCTATCATTTGAAACTGGTGCTCTTATTCAGTATTCAGCTGACAATGCAGATATCAATGTGTTGCTGGGTTCCTTCGACAGGTAATATTTTGCAGAAATAAGAACCCACTTGTTCAACTTTACGTTTTTTAATTACGAGAAAATAAATGCTTGCAGAACAGTACAACTTTACGAGGCAGAATGGCTGACTATTTACTAGTAACGGCCCTCGGCAACCGCTCCAAGCTCCGCCCTTCAGCTCCAATAATCCTACGCCGAGTGACATATGACAAGCGCGGTCGCGCCAAGTTTTCAGGGCTTTAGCCGTGTTGCCATATCTAATAATATGATACTAATACATAATAAATGAAATAAATCCTTAACTCTAACATAACCGTACTTTTGTCTGACGTGTGACAGTGTGCATTGTGTGCCTGAATGTAAAGTACGTTTATGTTCGTATATTATAATTAATTGAGTAAATTTATGATTTGTTGGTAATACTAACGGATGTTTAGTGTCATAGTTAAGTCCTGAATTTTTAAGTCTGCCGCCAATTCTGATTATTCCGTTTTCGTCAAGAAAAGGGCAAAGCATTTTTAACTTACTTTTTTGAGGTATTTGATGAGATCTTTTCAAAGAATCAAAGTCTTTAGTGAAGCTTTCACTTTGTACTAATTTTATGAGTGTGATCTCGGGCATTTCAATTTCACTAATTGATAGACGCTTTTCCCTTCTCCGACCTTCTTTTGGTAATTTTGAATTGTGACAAAACCTTAAGCAATATGCGACAACGTGAATTAGGGTTTTCAGATCAGAAAATAATTCAAAAATATTACTTCGATTATTTTGAACGAGCAATGATATAGGTTTGACTTCAGGAACGTCTAACAATGAATTTACATGAAAAGAAATATTCGAGCTTTCGGGCCATTGTTCAGGATTTGTAAGAAACTTAGGTCCGTGTAACCATAATTCAGAATTGATGATTTGTTTCAAACTTGCTCCTCTACTAAGGATGTCAGCAGGATTTTCTACTGAAGCTATATAATTCCAGTCTTGAGTTCGGGTGTATTGTTGAATTTCTGCTACGCGGTTCGCGATAAATGTTTTCCATGTTTTTGGTTCTTTTGCAATCCAGTTCAACACAATAGTGGAGCCTGTCCAAAAATATGTGCGAGAGAAACTTATTTTCAATGCTTCGGCGCATTTTACTAAAAGCCTAACTAGAAGTAACGCACCTAAAAGTTCGAGTCTAGGTATACTTTGACATTTAATTGGACTTATTCGAGATTTAGCGCAGAGAAGATGACTTTCGATGTGCCCGTCGTGGTCTATAGAACGAATAAAGATGCAACCTGCATAAGCGCATTCGCTCGCATCCGAGAACCCGTGGATTTCAATAACTCTTGGATATTTAACTAACACGTGGCGTGGGACCTGCATTAAACCAACTCGTGATACTTCGAATTTTAATGTAAGCCATTCAGAAATTAAATCATCGGGTATGTTCGTATCGTCCCAATCTATATGAAGTTTCCAAAGTTTCTGTATTATTAATTTGGCACGAATTGATAACGGCCCTAATATTCCTAAAGGATCGAAAATTTTCGCGACGAACGATAAAATCGATCTTTTAGTTATGTTCTGAATTTCTCTATAGACGCTCGGAGAGTTATATTCGAATTTGTCTAAATGTGGCACCCAAGAAACACCAAGAGTTTTAACAGAAGAATCATCCGAAATTACGTAATTCTGGCCTTCACGAATGTTTTGATTGATATTAGAAATTAATGTTGAGTCGTTAGATTGAAATTTTCTAAGTTCGAATCCGTATTCTGATAAAATCTGACCGAGATTTTTTCTAAGCTTGTCCAAGTCTTCGTAACTAGTGGAACCTGTCAATAAATCATCGACATAAAAATCGGATCGGATTATATTACTTTCGATTGGATAAGTTTTGTCATTATCTATGGCTATTTGTTGCAAGCACCGTGTTGATAAGAAAGAAGCCGAAGCTGTGCCATAGGTTATCGTATTAAGTTGAAAATGCTTGACTTCCTCCTCCGGTGAATTGCGCCAAACGATGCGCTGTAAATTGCGCTCATCTTCGTGTACCAAAATTTGTCGGTACATTTTGGCTAAGTCTCCTACCAAAACCACGTTATGTTTTCTGAAACGCACCAGAATTGAAAACAAATCATTCTGTATCGTAGGGCCTACCTTCAAAACATTATTTAACGACAAATTTGTAGACGTTTTACAAGCA